AAAAGTTAACTATAACCGAATAAAAGGAGCCGGCCAAGAGGCCACCTTAACACCAAAAAAAAAATAAATAAATAAATTTAAATATAATTTTTTATATATTTAAACAATTTTAGCTTTTTTTAGCTATGATAAAAAACTATACAGTAGCAGTTTTAAACAATATACAATATCTTTTTATAGCATTATATTTAAATATACCATCAAATCTCTCTAAATGCATTGTAATAAGCATGTAAAAATTTCATATTACATTAGTTGGGCCCAGGTGAAAATATGCAATTAGGAAGCTTTTCATATGGCGTACATCGTCCCAATAATTGTCGTCACATTGCCGTAACTATAGTAAGTACGTACGTACGTATAGTAAGTTACGGCAAGTTATGGCAATGTGATGACTATCATTGGGACGATTCTACCGCATCACTAATTTAGAACATATTATTGGACAATGTTATATGCAAAAATTATAATACGTATAAAGTTTTATACACTTTTATATGCAAAATTATAATACGTATAAAGTTTTATATAAATTCTAAATAAAGCATTTTTATATACGTACAGATAAAATAGTACGTATAACTGTATGACTTCTATAGAACTAAAAGTTAAAATAAGCCAATTTCATATTGTTCTATCTCGAATAAAAAACCGGCACGTTAATAACATTGAGAATAAATTCCCGCTTAGAAGAATTAAAAATTAAATTTAAGTCGAATATTAGCAATTTGATTGAAAGAACAAAATAGCGAAAATAGCGAAAAAATGGCAAAAAGGGTTGCCCATTGACCTTTAAATGGTATCCTTTAACACAGCCTATGCGAATATCTAAAAATCTACACAGCCATTAATCGAAAGTTTGTTTATCAGAGATCCGCCACTTGAATTATTTTTACGAGATCCTGAATTGACAAGTCCTTATTAAAATTATGAGAGAGGCTTTGAAATCATATGAGCATAATAGTTTAGAGAAATTTACGCACAGCCGAATGTCAGACAGACTCGGGAATCAAATCTTAGTCTCACATAGTACTATAATAGAATTCAGTTTTTCGTAGACAAATAAAAATGAAATAAAATTCAATAATGCTTTAAAGACCAAGAATAAAGGTATTACAATGCGGAAATGTTGAAATACTTTTTGAAGGTATGTATGTACTGTACTTACGTAGGTACTTTTATTTTTTCTAAATATAATGACGATAATAATAATCATAATCATAATAATTATAAAAAAAAACCAAAAAAACAAACCTCTACCTGATACGTTCATTACGTAACAATTAAATGAAAAAGCCTTATGTGGCAGTGTCCGCATGAACCCACACCATGGCTTGAAATACATTGAAACTCTGAGGCAGCACCGAGTCAAAGGTTTAATATCAAAAAGTAAATCTAAAATTAAAATGCTAGCGGTTATAATTTTTCAGCATAAATCGAAAGCTTTAAATAGATTTACCAACAATCAGTGAATTTTAATCAGTGAATTTTAATGAATATTAATTAAAGCAAATCATAAAAAAATTGTAAATTATAATAAAAATAACGATATCGATAATATCGATACGTAATTATTTGTCATACGAATTAAAGATTTAGATCGCGTATGTCATCTTAAATACCCGGTACAAAAATATTTGGACTTATGTTAATACAGATTATTCCAAGCATGTTCAAGCATGTTACTATTAAACCTTTAAAACAAAACTGTTTAGTTTAATTATGTTGTTGAAGATAAAAACTTTTATAGTGGAACGAAAAATTCGACTGTTATGGTCAAGGGAGGCTTAAAAATGGGATTGGTTTAACATTTCTATCCGAAATCGTAAATCAATGATCAAATGTTGACAAACGAGACTCCAAATAAGGAATGTCCCAATATGCTTTTGTTAACAATGATAACGATAATCATCCAAGTTCCTTCAAATGCGGTTGGATAAAAATAATATTTTATTTTATACAAAAAAAAAAAAGTTTTTTTTCTATCGTGTTTGCCGTTTATAGTTTTTTGTACTATTTTGAAAACCAGCCTTATAGAGTTACTGTTAGAAATGCAAGCTCCGTGGATGCATAAGTTATTAAAATATACATATATAACTAACTTATTGTATGATCTCTTTTGTTTTACTTGTAAATAACAAGCATTCTAAAAATAAGGAAAAATACAATGTCTGGAAAGGGATATAAAGAGTGTCGTTATTTTCTTCAAACAAAGTTCCTTTCTTTTCATTATCGAATTACTTTTTTCGATAATTAGTTATTTTTTATTGTAAATAGTCTTTCACATATTAATCTACATATTAACATGTTAAAAATCTTCACGTCTTTGGCACTTTTATGCCTTCTGATTTCCATGGCTGTTGCCTTGGCCGTGCCTGAAAGTTCATTGGTTGTACGGACAGAGTCAAAAACTTGCAACAAAAAACGTTCACCTTTGGAGAAGAGACATGAAGATGATACATGTCCTTGTACAGTTGCCAACGCAGTATTTCAAAATATAATTCAGGGTATCGTCGTTTTCGCCCAGGATGAATGTGGTTTTACTCAGGCCATAGGTCTTTTTTCAAGTGGTTTTAAACCAGATAATCAATATTGTGCCTTTATCACTGATGATTGTGGAAGGATTCTTCACAATATCACTGATGACCTAGCTTTAAAATTTAACAAAGACGGTGGTACCGAGCCGTTTGCTTCCAAACTTCATGGTGTTAATCTTAACTGTGACAAGAATGGTATCTTGCTTGCATCCACTCCCAAACCCGCAGACGATAACACCACACATTCTAAACGTACTGAAGATGATTATTATTATAAAGATCCTTGCGCTTCTAGTTATCGAAAACGCGCCGAAGGTTCCCAGATGCGATTTTATGAAAACGGTAACAATTACGACCAAGCTAATATTGGTCTGATTTAAAATTTATCAAATCACCACAATTTTTTATTATAAAATGTCAAATCACCTCGATTTTTTATTATAAAATGTCAAATCACCTCGATTTTTTATTATAAAATGTCAAATCACCTCGATTTTTTATTATAAAATGTCAAATCACCTTGATTTTTATTATAAAATGTCAAATCACCTCGATTTTTTATTATAAAATGTCAAATCACCTCGATTTTTTATTATAAATGTTAAATCGCCTTGATTTTTTATTATAAGATGCTTGGTTTTATCTTTGTATTCCAATAATTGTTATTTAAAAAAAAGGGACATTTTCATCTCAATTGACCACATAGACCTCAATTGACTACATAGACCATAAAATATTTCTTTTCTCTTGGTCTTTAAAACAACATATAACTTGTCAAATGTTTCATAATTTATAGTTCATTATTATAATTGAAAGTATTTGTAAGCTTAATTTCTCCATGAGAATTCATAAGTTCTTTGTTTCAGATTGCCCCTGTTCTTATGGAACTATGGTCGATTTGTGCTTCATATGTTGTGTTTCGCGACCTATGAACCTTGTTCGTTCTTATAAACTTTATAGGGATAATGTTTAATTTCCTCTTTTGAGTCTAGTTTCATTTTCTTCTCGACATGCAAAATATGCAAAATAGATTTCGGAAATGTTTCTTAAGAAACCACGTAACGTTCACAAACGCAGCCGCTTAATAAAAATATAATTTCTGTTTTTAGATACGGTTTCCATTACGTAAGTACGCATCATGATAATGATAAAATATTGATATCGATATTAAATAATTTTGGTAGCGATCTTAATTAATTTGATAACAGATGTAACTATATATATATATATATAGATATTTTGAAAGTCGTATTAATACGTAGACGCGCACGTAACTCTTCAATATATGCTTGATTACAAACTAAGGTAATTTGGCTGGCTACTCTATACAAATTTGAAAAAAACTTTAGTGAAATGTTTTACAAATTAAATGTGCCAAATTTTACATGAATCTGATTAAGAGAAAGCATCTACTTTTTTTTTAACTTAATTTATCCTAACACTAATACATAAGTGCTATTTTTGCCAAGTTTGGTCAGGTGGTAATTGAGATATGTTCATGAGCTTGAATCCGGATAAGATTATCCGGATATCAAGATGATGAATGATTTGCTGGACAACGTGGGTGTATCATTGCAAGTTTAATTACATAATGCAAGTGTATATCGATATTAATCCAATTTTTTTATAGTAAAAATTTTTAAAATCTGCTCGAAATATTAAAGACTAGAAAAATCGTCTTTTCATCTTCAATTCCTCTGTCATTTTTTAATTAAAAAAGGGATCATCTAAAGTAAAGTAAGGCGCACCCACGTGACTAATAGCCAATCAAACTATAAATTTGGAGACAAAGAGTCTCTAAACTTACCTTAGGGCACTAATAAAAAATGTCGGGCAGACAAAACCAGGGACGATGATTGTCTGCGGTGATAGATAAAATGCCTGCGATTTGGTAAAAGACTAGCAATACCAGTCTAAAAAATTTCGCACATCATGTGATTTTATTTAAAACTAATAAAAAATTTTTCACTAAAAAAAGGGTTCGCGATTAGTTTAGGGTTAGGGTCTTGCTAGTAGG